GGGGTCTGCCATTTATGGTCGCTTTGGTCGTCATAACTGTGAACGGTTGTAAGTCAACCGTTCGCAACTCGGGGACCGGCTGTACTAGCAGCCAACTGCAGTCCCTAGCCTAGCCTGAATAGGATGAAGTTTAATAAGGACAAATGCAAAGTACTCCATGTAAGAAGGAACAATCAGTTTCACACATACATAATGGGAAGTGACTGCCTAGAAGGGAACTAGGGGTCATAGTGGACCACAAGTTAAACGCAGGTCAGCAGTGTGACGCTGTTGCAAAAAAAGCAAACCTGATTCTGGGCTGCATGAACAGGAGTGTTGTGAGCAAGACATGAGAAGTCATTCTTCCGCTCTACTCTGCACTGATTAGGCTTCAGTTGGAGTATTGTGTCCAGTTCTGGGCAGCACGTTTCAGGAAAGATTTGGAGAAGGTCCAGAAAAGAGTAACAAAAATGATTTAAGGTCTAGAGAATTAACTGAGGCAAAACTGAAGGAATTGGGCTTGTTTAATTTGGAAAAGAGAAGACTGAGGGTATGTCTACACTACCACCCTAGTTCGAACTAGGGTGGTTAATGTAGGCAACCGAAGTTGCAAGTGAAGCCCGGGATTTGAATTTCCCGCTAGGGTGGTAATGTAGGCAACCAGAGTTGCAAATGAAGCCTGGGATTTGAATTTCCTGGGCTTCATTTGCATATTGCCGGGCTCCACCATTTTTAAATGTCCGCTAGTTCGGTCTCCGTGCCCGCGGCTATACGCGGCACGAACTAGGTAGTTCAGATTAGGCTTCCTATTCCGAACTATTGGAACGTGGAACGAGGTGTACCGGTAGTTCGGAATAGAGAGCTAATCTGAACTACCTACTCTGTGCCACGTGTAGCCGCGGGCACGGAGTCCGCGCTAACGGGCATTTAAAAATGGCGGCGCCCGGCAAGATACAAATGAAGCCCGGGAAATTCAAATCCCGGGCTTCATTTGCAACTTCGGTTGCCTACATTAACCACCCTAGTTCAAACTAGGGTGGTAGTGCAGACATACCCAGAGAGGGGACATGATAGTGGTTTTCAAGTATCTGAAACCATGTTACAAGGAGAGAGGAAAAATTGTTCTGCTTGGCCTCTGAGGACAGGACAAGAAGCAATGGGTTTAAACTGCAGCAAGGGAGGCTTAGGTTGGAGGTTGGACATTAGGAAAAAGTTCCTGCCTGTCAGGGTGGTGAAACACTGGAATAAATTGCCCAGAGAGGTTGTGGAATCCCCATCTCTGGAGATATTTAAGAAAAGGTTGGATAGACATCTGCCAGTGATGATCTAAACCAGGCCTACGGCCCATCTGTTTGTGGTTCGCGATGCAGTTTGGGTTTACGTGGGGCTCAACACGCAGCCGGCGAATGGGAGCCAAAACAAAAAAGTAGTCAATAGAATGCTCTTCCATTCATCTGCATTTTAGTAATTAAATTCCTGGACAGTTATTGCTCATTTCCATTTCAATTTTAATGGGGTAAATACTGCGTTTTATTAATATCGGCAGAAGTGACTGACATGGGGCCTGCGTGTTGTGTGCTCTTGCCTTAATCTTTGTATTCATGCCTGTCAGTGTGAAATAAACTCTTTGCATATATTTGCATATATATTTGCATGCCTAAGCAACCACACTTAAGTTGCGGCCCTCGGCATGTGCTGTGAGTATCGTGGCTGCCGGGGCTTCCACAGTTGAGTGACCCTGGTCTAGACAGCGCTGGGTCCTGCCGTGAGGGCAGGGGACTGGACTCGATGACTCTTGAGGTCCCTTCCAGTTCTAGTGTGCTTTGATTCTAGCTTTTGAATCCAGGGTCTAACTGCAATCTGGATTGGTCATCCTCATTGGCATGTAGGGGCAAAGGGGGGAGGTGGACCTAGGCCCACCCACTGCTCTGGGTCCTGGCCCAGGAACATTGCAGCTAGCAGCCATTTGCTGACCCTCCATCTGTGCCCCCGGCTTGCCTTCCCTGAGCCACTTCTCCCCTGCATAACCCTCGCACCTTCTCTGCTCTTCATCAGTACCTCGGTCTGCCGGCCAGTCCCCTCGCTCTCCTTCCCAGCACTGCTCAATAAGAGGTGCTCCTTAGCACCTAGTCCTTGTCCCTCACTCTCCGGAGAGAGACCGCCCTCTGCTCAGCAATCCTTTATATATCTGCTGCTCCAGCAAGCCTTCCCTTGATTGGCTCTCTCAAGAAGCCCTTTTCTAATTGGCTGGAGTTCTGTGCGGCCTCTCTGAAAGCCAATGGTGGGCAGCCTGTGGCCCATCTCGGTAATCTGCTGGTGGGCCGTGACACTTTTGCTGCCGTTGACCCTCTGCAGACTCGTCCCCTCTCCCCAGCTGCCAGTGGCCGCTACTCCAGGCCAGTGGGAGCTGCAGGAAACAGTGAGCCACAGGGACATACACGTCACCGCTTCCAGCAGTTCCCATTGGCCGGGCACAGTGGTGACCACGGGGAGTGGCAAGGGGCCATGCCTGCGGATGGTCAATGTCAGCAAAATGTCTCACGGCCCTCAATCAGATGACTTTGAGGAGATGTATGCTGCCCCTGGGCCGTGGGTTGCCCACCTCTGCCCTAGGATGAATCTGGTTAGTAGTGACCGAGAGTCAATATTACCTGACAGTTCAGATACCTGAGGAAATCTACCTTGGTAAGTGTGGGAGTTGAAAAGAGAGGTTCAGAGGAGATTTGAGGTAGCTCCCACTGGACTTACACATAATTATACTACCAAAATCAGAATTGGAGAGTGCCAAAAGCTGGAGGAGAACTGAGAACAAAAGAATGTTGAAAGGCAAAGGCACCATGCTAGAGAGAAGGCTGTGAGTGTTCAGGAGGGCCGTGAGAAGGCAGGTTCACAGAGAACTGTAGTCAGAGAAGCTTGGTAAGGTCTCTGCAGCCTGGCGAGCATAGGAAAATGTCCATGTAAAGTGCAGAGCTGCAGGTAGTCCTGGATCTGGCACAAGCTGCGAGTGAGGTGGGCTGCTGTCTGGCCTGCTAAAAACGTCGTGGGGAGGAGTGTGTCGTCTATCGCATTCATTAGAAGCTTTTGCTTATCATCGAATAATAGGACTGGAAGGGACCTCGAGAGGTCATCGAGTCCAGCCCCCTGCCCTCAAGGCAGGACCAAGCTCCGTCTACACCATCCCTGACAGATGTCTATCTAACCTGTTCTTAAATATCTCCAGAGAGGGAGATTCCACCACCTCCCTTGGCAATTTATTCCAATATTTGACCACCCTGACAGTTAGGAATTTTTTCCTAATGTCCAATCTAAACCTCCCCTGCTGCACTTTAAGCCCATTACTCCTTGTCCTGTCCTCAGAAACCAAGAGAAACAAATTTTCTCCTTCCTCCTTGTGACACCCTTTTAGATATTTGAAAACCACTATCATGTCCCCCCTTAATCTTCGTTTTTCCAAACTAAACAAGCCCAGTTCATGAAGCCTGGCTTCATAGGCTTCTCTAGACCTTTAATCATTCTTGTCGCTCTTCTCTGTACCCTTTCCAATTTCTCCACATCTTGCTTGAAATGTGGCGCCCAGAACTGGACACAGTACTCCAGCTGAGGCCTAACTAGTGCAGAATAGAGCGGCAGAATGACTTCACGAGTTTTGCTTACAACACACCTGTTGATACAACCTAAAATCATATTTGCTTTTTTTGCAACAGCATCACACTGTTGACTCATATTCAACTTGTGGTCCACTATGACCCCTAGATCCCTTTCCGCCATGCTCCTTCCTAGACAGTCGCTTCCCATCTTGTATGTATGGAACTGATTGTTCCTTCCTAAGTGGAGCAATGAATCGACTTATGAGTGAATCGACTACGCTGACATTCCTCCCCTGTTGTAACCCCTTTCTCCTTGAGTGGCGCAGCCCCCCACAAGGTCTGGACAACTTTTGGGAATTTTTTTGGCAAACTTTCTGAAAGTCCTGGATCGAAAAATTGTTTTGGTTTGTGGGACCGAATGGGCGTGCTGCATTTTGGGTCCGTCGGACACGAAAACGGCATCTGCCTACAGCAGGCGTCCGTGAAGTTTTCCCTCGTGCCCCCATCTCCGCGCCTGGGAGTGGGGCCACGATTAGAGCTGCAGACGTGGCAGGGGAGTGGCCCAACTTCACCCCTGCTCCCAGTGCTGCCCCCAGCTGCAGCCGGTCTTAGGCCTCGACTTCTGGCTCCAGGCCTAGCTGCAAATCCAGCCCATGCCTCAGCCCCTGGGCCAGGACTAGGACGGGGCCCGGAGCTGAGCCATAGCCCATTGGAGCTGGGGTAGAGCTGAGGGTGGAGCAGGGCTGAGGGGTGCCCCCCCATAAGGGTTAGCCCAGGCTCTGTTGTGCCTCCCCCATTCTCCTCTGTGCCCCCACTCTTTGGGGACCGCTGCGTTAGCCAGTAGAAGTAGCTAAAGCCAGGCTCCTTTGGCCAGGCAATGCCTTTTCTAAAGTTCTGACTGGTCTTCATCCTCTCTGTGCTGATTGTTTGCTCATCCTTTATGCCACCCTCCATAGACTTTGCATCTCTACTTCACTCGGCATCTTGCCCTCTTTTCCCCAGCCCTGTACCCCTTTATCAGAGTCCCCTCACTATGCCCTTTGCTTTCCATTTAGCTGATCCCTCCTTCCCCCTGTAGCTCCCCTCTAACATGCCATTTCCTTCCACCACATTCACTCTGCTTGTGTGTGCGACTCTTGCTCAACCCTGTTTACCTTGTCTGGTTAGCTTGTTTGTGCTGCAGAAATGGCAGTGCATGGGGGGGAGGGTGGGGTGGTTCTGCGGGAGCCGGTGTTCATTAAGCTGCTTCCCTCCTCTCCCCCCACCCTGTTCATGTAAACATGTAAGCAGTGAAATTTACAGCAGTTACATGTTTATTTAAAAAAATGCTTAACATCCCTAGTACAAAGAGGCCCCATGATGGTTTGGTCTCTAAGATCTCCTGTAATGTATTTGTTACAGGTTACTTACTTACATGTATTTTTCCTCTTTCAGACACCAGCGTTCAGGGCTTGAAGGGATATAGGGAAGAAATGACAGCTGCATAAACATCTCTTCCTTTCCTTTTTTGAGAGTCCGAACAGAACTCTGCCAAAAGTAACTCAGCTTTTCCAGCTTGTAGAAAACCAGCCATCGGCTTATTTAGGAGAGCGCCTTCAGAAAGGAAAGCAGCATGTACACGTTCCTGCCTGAAAACTTCACCCCGGTGAAGCCGAAGCCGTCCAAGGAGCTGAAACCCATGATCGGTGCAATAGTTGTGGGGCTCATCCTACTCATCGCGGCGGTGGTGGCCTGGTGCTATTACACGGCGTCACTGAGGAAGGCGGAGCGGCTCAAGACGGAGCTGATGGACCTGCGGAAGGATGGGTTCGTCATCAAAAACCAGCATGGAGAGGTGGTCTTCAGACTGGCCTTCCAGTCGGGCAGCCTCGACCTGGAGTCCTGCTCGAAAGAAGGGGAGATTTTAACCTGCACCAGGTCGGACAAAGGGAAGCTGAATTTCTTCATTCAGACGGTCAAGCCCAAGGACACGGTGATGTGCTACCGCGTCCGCTGGGAGGAGTTTGTGGCGGACACGGCGGTGGAGCACACCATGTTCTGGGAGGACGCTCACTGGTACGGGGGCTGCGAAATGAGCGTCCAGCACTGGCCAATTAGGCTCCCCGGGTACCAGGAGCCCACGCCCTTTGTGACGAGCGACGTGTATTCCTTCAGGGACAGCTTTGGAGGCATCTTGGAGAGGTACTGGCTGTCCTCGAAAGCAGCGGCCATCAAGATCAACGACTCGGTGCCCTTCCACCTGGGGTTCAACGCCAGCGAGCGGTCGCTCTTCTTTCAGGCCAGGTATAAGGATTCTCCCTACAAACCTCCCTTGGGCCAGCAGCCTTTCCCGGAGCTGAGCTACCGCGTCTGCGTCGGCTCGGACGTGACTTCCATTCACAAATACATGGTGCGGAGGTACTTTAACAAGCCTTCCAAGATCCCGTCGGAAATCGCCTTCCGCTATCCCATCTGGTCCACGTGGGCGCTCTACAAAAACGATATTGACCAGGATAAGCTGTTGCGTTTTGCAGAAAAGATTAAAAAGTACCGGTTTAATTGCAGCCACATTGAAATCGACGACACCTACACACAGACTTACGGAGACTTCGACTTTGACCCAGTCAAATTCCCTAATGTGACTGAAATGTTCAAGACGCTGAAAAAAGAGGGATTTAAAGTTACCCTGTGGACGCATCCCTTTATAAACTACAATTCCTCCAATTTTGGCGTGGGAATAGAGCGGCAGCTCTTCATCAAGGAGCCGACGGGGAAACTGCCCGCCATGGTGAAGTGGTGGAACGGCATTGGGGCCATCTTGGATTTTACCAATCCCGCGGCCAGGGAGTGGTTTCAGAGCCAGCTGAAACAGCTGCGGTCCAAGTACGGCATCGCGTCCTTTAAGTTTGACGCCGGGGAGGTCAGCTACCTCCCGAAGCAGTTCAGCACTTTCCGGCCCTTGTCGGACCCCAACATCTGGTCCAGACGGTACACGGAAATGGCCGTTCCGTTCTATGAGCTCGCCGAAGTGCGGGTCGGCTACCAGTCCCAAAACATCTCGTGCTTCTTCCGCATCATCGACCGGGACTCTGTTTGGGGATATGAGCTTGGCCTCAAGTCTCTGATCCCTACCGTGCTCACCATTAGCATGCTGGGATACCCTTTCATTTCAGCTGATATGATTGGTGGGAATTTTTTCCCCAACAAGACGGAAGGGGCTGTTGAAATCCCAGACCAAGAGTTGTACATCCGCTGGCTGGAGCTGTCGGCCTTCATGCCCTCCATGCAGTTCTCAATACCCCCCTGGCTCTATGACAAGGAAGTGATTGAGATTGCACAGAAGTTCACAGAGCTGCATGAGTCGCTGGTCGCCCCTCTCCTGTTGGAACTGGCTGGGGAGGTCACCGACACAGGAGACCCCATCATACGGCCCATCTGGTGGATTTCTCCCAACGACAGATCCACCCATGAAATTGACTCCCAATTCCTCATTGGGGACACCCTCATGGTGGCCCCCGTCCTGGAGCTGGGCAAGCAAGAGCGCGATGTGTACCTCCCGGCCGGCAAATGGCGCAGTTACAAAGGGGAGCTGTTTGAGAAGACCCCGGTCCTGTTAACGGACTATCCCGTGGACTTGGATGAAGTTGCCTATTTCCTCTGGGTCTCTTAACCGACAACTCCATCAGCTCTAAACTTTGTGACAACCATGCCTTACTTCAGGATCTGAAAACTAACCATTCTAAACGCACAGTACGTGCCTGGGAGGGTCTAGTGTGGGAATGGGAAACTAACAGGACTGTGGTTTTTAAATATCCTATATCTTGTCAACGAAACTTCCAGTTTGAGCTGGGGGTGGGTGTGTATAATTGCAGAAGGAGTAATATCACCCGGTGCATCTAGGAACCCAACGCCTTTTCAGATCTCTGAATTGAAGAGGTAGACGCAGCCTTGGGCTTGTCGTGGCGTAGGCGGTAGTGATTTTTTTTCTCCTTCAGAAACACGGCTCCTAGGGGAGGGGGCGGGGCTACAATATTAGCCACGGCCCCTTCCCCCCTTTCTACATGCAGCCTATGAATCCAAATCCCATAGTGCAATGCTCCATCTTGAGCGCCATGAAATGAAGCAATGCATGCTGGGGCCTGGCGTCCTTGGCCCCCGCCTCTCCCCAGAGCGAGTGTCGTTGCTGCGGTCCGCACGGTGTTAATGCGAAGGACGTGTCGTCCTGGAGTTGTTGCCAGTTTCATGGCTGGTCTGCAGCTGATCCCAGGGATGAAAGATGAGTTGGAAGGGAACAGGAAGCACAGGACAGTGGGTTACTACAGCACAGCGGCCTTATATTTGATAATGTGGCAAGTATTATTTACAAGACTTTTTTTAAGGGATAAATCGATATATTTTTCCTTAGCACTGGACTGGACGTCAAATACCCAGTCCCCTTATTCTCTCGAGTCCTAGGCGGGCCAGGCTACTCGACTTACTGCACATATTTTAACTGTACGTCATGTATCAGGGCACGTTGCATTATCTCGTCCTAGCCTGTGGCTAATACCTCCTGGAAGAATCTCTCTCCCCTACCGAGCAGCATTTGTCCTGTGTATCTTCTTTCACGGGAGTAAACTGGAGTTCTTTGTTGCACATTTATCCTGCAGATACTTTTTCCCTTTTAAAGAGGTGCTGGCGGCTTGGTTATTTGGTAGAGAATTGTCAGAAGCCAAGTAACGGCTCAAAAGCTGCATGTGCCACTCCCCAGAGACGCCGCCGCACCCAAACGGATCCAATGGTTTTGCTGCTGCTCAACTTATCAGTATGGAAATTGATGACGTTTGCACTGAACAGGGCTGTGCTCATCCATTGTTTCCAAGGGGAGGTTATGGTACTGGAGGTCTAATTAAGCTAATATTGCACTGCAGTCTCTTTAGTGGTCTCAATTTTGTCTAATGTCTCTTGGGCCAGCTTTTCTCTGTGTTGCTATTTCTAAAGAGCCCCGTGCTCAGGAGCTCCCATGCAGGCACCTGAATGAAGGGCCCATGGAAGCTGTTGGGTACCGAGCGCTTCAGAAAACATGGCCCCCAGAAGTAGGCACTCTGAAGTTTTGGCCCGAAGGTCAGATGGGATTGTGATGGTTTGTTCACTGGGACCCTCTTGGGACTGTCCCTTGCTGTGCTGGAATACCACTGTGCACCGCCCCTTCCTGCCCTCCTCGGTGCCCCTCAACTCTGTCCTGCTGAGCCAGGCCCTCGGGTCTGCTCCAGCCCAGACAGGGATAGGGGCACGGCCCTTGCCAGTGTAATCTAGACACTGAGATCAGCCGAGATAAAGGCTCAGCCTCCGCTCCCATCTGCACAGCCCCAGTGGGCCATGAACCCCAGATAAACCTGTCTTGCTCTGCGTAAAATGTTAAGCTTTTGTTAGCTCTTTTTCTCATGGTAAAGAGAGGGGCACAGCTGCTTGCTCCCTCCAGCTAACGGTTATTTACACTGGGTTTACTAATAAAGAAGTGATTTTTATTAAGTATAAAAAATAGGATTGAAGTGGCCAGAAGAGCTGGCACCCAGGACAAAGTAGGTTACTAAATACAATAAAACAGAACATGCCAGCTAAGCTTAATACAACATGTAACTAGCTTCTTTAGTGTATCTCCCCCTCAAAGTGGTTTTCATAAGCTGCTTTCATGGACTGGAACGTCTCCCCTTCTAGCCCCAATCCTGCCCCCCCCCCCTGGGTGAGGGAGAACTGATAACCTTGCTTACCTCACTCCCACCCTTAAACACGGTTTGCAGAAGGTGGGAATCTCTTGTTGAAGTTTGACCCTCCCCACTCCTCTCCTCCCCCCCCCGCTATTCGTGGGAAAGTACATGCTTCAAGATGGATTCCGGTATCAGGTGACATGGTCCTAGGTCTCAGCAAGACCCAGTCTCTATTGTTCATGGGCTGACCACTTGCCTGCAGGGCAGTTAAGCTTCAATCTCTTGGCTAATGAGCCATTATAGCCTTGAAATACCATTGATGGCCATCAATTAGCATGACTATAGTAACACAGGTCCATACACCCTATTCCTAACTTGCTCTACAAAGATGCTACATGCATACAAATGGGAAAGTCAGGCTGATCTCTTACAGCAGGGAGTTGCATGAAGCACATTCTAGCAATGTCATTCCTAATCATATTTTCATAAAGCATATGGAATGCCTCATGACAGCAATTATAACCTACCGCTGTGCGTGTTCCAGCCTCTGTAGAGCAAAGAATGAATGATTCTACCACTGCCTCTCCTACGAAGCCTCTCTCAAGCTGTAGAAATATACGGGGGGGGTTGCTCTGGAAGCCCCTGGTTCAGTGCCTGGTGTTGGCTGAGCTCTCAAGCCCCTAGAAAGACAGTGGCTGCTCTTGCACCATTGAAGTCAATGAGAGTTATGTCTCTGCCTTCATTTTCAGTAGGGTTTGGCTCTGGAACTGTAAGGCCAGGTCAGCTGGGGCATTCCAGCCGCCACCCATTTCTAGTCTCCTACCAAGGAAGATGCAGGGGCAAGCGCATGCCCTGTGCTTGGGCTCTAATTCAAGTGGTTCAAGCATAAATGTGCAGAGGAGAAACCCGGCCTGGGGGGAAGGATAGCTCAGTGGTTTGAGCATGGGCCTGCTAAACCCAGGGCTGTGAGTTCAATCCTCAAGGGGGCCATTTAGGGATCTGGGGCAAATCTGTCAGGGCTATGTTAGCAACATTCTCTTGCAAAGTGAGGCTGCCCTGGGCTACACCCTGTTGCTTGATAGTGCAGCTGGGCATGCAACAAATGGTTTAAGCCAAAGCTACTCCACCTGCAGCCTGTCTATTTGAGGCCTGTTTGGGTTTACGCAGGGCTCAACACACGGCCTGCAGGTGGGAGCCAGAACAAAAAAGCAGTCAATGTAATGGTCTGTTGCTACGCATTTGAGTAGTTAAATTCCTTGACTATCATTGCTCATTAAAAGTGCTGTCACATGGGTGGAAGTTGGGTAAATATTCCATTTTTAGGAAGATCAGCAGAACTGACTTAAGTGGGGCCTGTGTGTTGTGCGGTCTTGTCTTGCCTTAATCTTTGTATTCATGCCTGTCCGTGTGAAATAAATGATTTGCATATATTTGCATATACATTTGCATATACATTTGCATGTCTATGCAACCACACTTAGGTTGCGGCCCTCAGCACATGCTGTGAGTATCGTTGTGGCTCTCAGGGCTTCCAAAGTTGAATAGCCCTGGTTTAAGCACTGAAAATACATCACTTCTGCTTTTTGGGGGACTAACCCCCTCATTTTCAACTCTTGCTTTCCGCCCACCCCCCCACCACCCCCCTTAGATGTATCCATCTCAGGAGCAGTCCTGGGGTGCTTGGCTTTGCTCCCACAGCTGGATAAGGCCAGAGAGCAGCAGTACAGGCCATAAAGTCTGTGTCCACAGCAACGCGCTAACTGTGGATAGCTCTGTGCCTTTCTCCGCTGACCAGAGCAGCCTTGCCCCATTAATCTCTTGGCCCCGTGGGCGGCGGGCATGCTAGGCAGGGGAAGGCGCTGCCTGGCCCCGCTCAGACTCCGTGCCTAGTATGTCTACAGTAAGCGGAGTGCCTGCCCTCCCTGTGCTCCAGGGCTGGGGAGACTTGAGCTGTGCACTGCCTGCATTCCCTGTGATACTAGGGAAGGTGGGGGCTTGGCTCCGATGAGGCTGGGCCTGTTCAGAAGGGGTGGGGTTAGTGGCTTGCCTCCCCCTGCCCTACCTTCACCACCACCTATGCCAGGCATCAGCTGCTAGCATAGGGTTTGGCTATACTGCCTGGTGAAACGAGCCAATCCTCCCTTTATTCGAGAGGACGGTGATGGATGTGACAGCATCCCTACAAAACAGCTGTCTCCAGGGCAGACAAGCTGGGGTACGGGAGGGAGGCAGGGACTCAGAGGGAGCCCATGCCTGGCTGTGCTTTCGGGATGAACTTTTAACATTTGAGTTGCACAAAGCCAGAGATTTTCCCGTCGGAACTTCAAGTCCAAGTTTTCCTGGGTGGTGGCGGGAAACATTTGACCCTCTCCATAAGATTGTTGCACTTTTTGTTGCCTGCCCCGGAATGCCAGGAATGAAGCAATGGGGTCACAGAAATGCGACAAAGTAGAACTAAGGCCTCTGTGTTGTCGGTTGCTTGACTTAACCATAGGCTGCTCCCGAAGGCGGGGCACTCAGAAACCACTAGCAGCTGGAACTCTAGAGTGCTTTATAACTTGCTCTTGGTTGTGCAGAGGTTGACTAGGGCATGAGACTGCATAATGGTGCTGGAGCCTAGTGGGGGTGCAAAGATATTGCATTACAGATTGAGCCACTCTCATCCCGGCACCCTCGGGACCTGACCAGTGCCAAACCAGAGAAGTTGCTGGACCACCGGAGGTCAATATTGTCTAGAAGCGTTGCCAACACTTCCACTGCACACTGGGCTCTTAGACGTTGAGGGGTAAATTAGAGCGAAATGACAGCACCGAACACTGAGAGCCATGGCAGGTGGCTGCGAACAAACTTTACGGGACCACAGGAAACGTGGTCACACCCACGATAAGTGCACATCCGGCAAACTCAAATCATGCCAGACTATGGATGTTGCCAGATCAGAGCGTGCCGGACTAGAGAGGTTCAACCTATAGAAGCTGATTTGGGCCATTGTTGTGAAGGCCACAAAGAAACTCGGCCAGAAGACTCACCACTAGGCTACATCCAAGTGCTTGAAAAGGAAAGAATTTTATTATTGAATGTTTAACTATTTGGCTACATCTAGACTGGCATGATTTTCTGCAAATGCTTTTAACGGAAAAGTGTTTCCGTTAAAAGCATTTGCGGAAAAGAGCGTCTAGATTGGCACGGATGCTTTTCCGCAAAAGCACTTTTTGCGGAAAAGCGTCCGTGCCAATCTAGACGCGGTTTTGTGCAAGAAAGTCCCGATCGCCATTTTCGCCATTGGGGCTTTTTTGCGCAAAACAGTTTTCCGCTGTTTACACTGGCCCTTTTGCGCAAAAGCATTTCCGGAAAAGGGCTTTTTGCCCAAACGGGAATGTCAAAGCATTTGCGCAAGAAGCACTGATTTCGGACAGTAGAACATCAGTGCTTTTGCGCAAAACCAAGCGGCCAGTGTAGGCAGCTGGCAAGTTTTTCCGCAAAAGCATTTGCTTTTGCGGAAAAACTTGCCCGTCTAGATGCAGCCTTTGATTAGGAAGAAATTTTCTAAACACAAGAGCCTTTTCCACCAAACGCCATAGCCGTGGTGGCTGCTTGTCTCCCTGCAAGGAGAAAAATGAAATAGCTGCTTGGAAGCTGCAGAGGAAATGGTTGAACAGGAGCCGCGGCATTGCTATGTAGAATTTTTATCATATACAGTCTCCTACCACCCGAAAACAAGATGCCACGTGGCTCAGCTCCTTGATACTGAGCAACCCAATAGGGGCCAAAAAGGCATTGATCTTGAAGTTCCCCATCTCTACTCTTTCCAAGGAGGGATTGGGAATGGGCTGATTTTGTATCCTTTCAGAGCCCACGGGTTCCACGCTAAAATGTTCTGTGACTTGAGTTCTACTTATGGTACCCCTAAAAGGGATGAAGTGACCTAGATTGTGCTTGGTTTGTCAGGTGGGTAAGTGCACAAAATCCAGGGCTGGCTTCACAAGTCAAGGAAATAGCTGTGAAGATCAAGTTGGGTAGATGGGTTCTGACGTGCCACCCAACGTCTGTCTGTCTAACCCTGCCTCTGGGAATGGCTGAGCTACCGTTGGTTCAGATGATTTTTGTACTGGTATTTTATTTTAATCCGGCACTATTGTATTGGTTCGCACAATGCTGTAAATCCGCACATGCCTTCACGAGTCAGCTTCTAATGTTTGGTTTTTAACCAGTTGTCTAACTCTTAATTGCCGGGGGAGGGGAGGGGAACAACACAACTCTCATGTTAACTGAAACAGTTGTGGGAGGATAACGGGAATGTTAACTCGCTAGGTCCATCAGCAACAATTTGGTGGGAACAACTGCAGCAGCGGTGATGAATGTAGATCGGTTACTTTCATGGCCAACATTCTATACAAGTAAATCTGAGGGCAGGTTTACACTATGGGGTTAAGTTGACCTTCGTTAAGCAGCTCCTGCTACATGAATAACATACCTGCAGTGGACATAGCTTAGGATGACTTACTGCGGTGTCTACACCGTGCTGGGTCCACAGGACAAACTCTCCGGTCAACTTGTCTTTAGGCTTGTTTCGGTGAATACCAGAGTCAGTGGAGAGCAATCCGGTAGGGGTGGGTTTTTTGTTGTTGTTTTTTTTTTAAAGCAGGTCTTAACTAGACCTGTTAAATCAACATCCCACTACCACGCTGGTGGATCGATCTCTGCACCATCGATCTCCCATGAGCGGAGACGAGCCCTGAGGCGGGAGATCTTTTTTTTTAATTGCTCTTTTTTGCACAAAAGCAGCAGTCAAGCCTGGTTTCTGTTCTGTTGCCCTTTAAATCTCAAAGGTAAAAAAGTCCATCCTAAAACACAGCTCTGTTTGGATTGCTGGAGCATGTGTGTCGTTCATGTGATCTCTATTGCTAAGAGACGCATTTAGGGCTGGGCTGGAGAAAAGCCTTCTCCCACAGGATAAGGGGAGACTCCATGTGCCAGTCTCGTTTTGGAAGATCAACAGAGCGCATGTCCATAGTTTGACTCTGGAATA